CCAGAATTGTGTATTGCATATGAAGATCCCTGACATTAGCAGTGTGAAAACGCAACTCTTTAACGGATATATAGAAAAACCTTTAGAGCTAAAGTGGATAATTACAACCCTCCATGTACTTTGTGTCTCACTTCTATCAGCCTCAATACCAATTGTGAAGGATTATGGGAGCTGTAGTCCAGAACAATCTAGAGAGCTATAATTTCCACTCCTAATCCAGAGGGGTGTAGACCTTTTATAAAAATCCTTTCATCCTCTTTCTTGGGCACCGGGACTGTGGCGCAGCTGGCAGGGAGTCATAGAATCATAGAATCAAAGAGTTGGAAGAGACCCCATGGGCCATCCAGTCCAACCCCCTGCCAAGAAGCAGGAATATTGCATTCAAATCACCCCTGACAGATGGCCATCTAGCCTCTGTTTAAAAGCTTCCAAAGAATTTGAAGCTAGCCCGGGTTGGAGTGAGCTTCCAACCAATTTTGTGTAGCTTACTGTCGACCTTTCCAGCCAGAAAGACAGTTGCATCTGTCAAATAGGAAATTTAGGTAACGCTTATGTGGGGAGGCAAATTTAACTAATTTACGAGGCCATAAAAATCTCCAGCAAGCATGCAAAGAATGAGGAAGTACTTCATCAATGTCACAAATGGTCGGTGAAGAGACAGCTCCCCTGATGGCCAGAATACCCTCAAGAAAAGCTGGAATGTTAAATAGCCTCTGTGTGTCTGTCTATATATTTTGTGTGTCTATGGCATTGAATGTTTGCCATGTATATGTACATTGTAATCTGCCCTGAGTCCCATGCGGGGTGAGAAGGATGGAATATAAATACTGTAAATAATAAATATCAATCCGATGATTTGGAACCCACAGACTGAAATATAAGTCTTCAAATACTGATTTGTTTTATATTTATCGAGCTCCAATAATTTGCGAGACACAACTGGCATAAGAAATATTACTATTGAATAAATAATCTGGATACCATTTGCATGGTGATGTATACACAACCCTTAAGTTACGAACAAAGATGAGGTTCTGCAGGTTTTTTCTTAAGTTAAATTTGTATGTAAGTCGGAACAGGTACATTTTTTAAGTGTAACTCCAGCCAAATATATGTATATATTTGCTTTGAATAGCATAAAGAAGGGTTAATGCTCCTGTGGTATTTGTTTTGGTGCCTGTGCCCCTGTTCAGAAGATTTCACCTCATTTTCTGTCTTTGTGATAGTTGGATTTTGAAAAATTAGGCTTGTTGTGAAAATAAGGATTAGTGATAAAGCTTCAGTAGGGTCACCATTTCCCCATGTTAACTCCTTCAAGAGTGAATTTCCCTTCCGAGGGGTAGATTTCTCTCACTTCCTGTTGTCTCACCCCTGTTTGTAACTCTGATTTTTTTGTAAATCAGTTCTATGCTTCTGTGTAGACTTCAGGTGAAACTCCCCTGTGCCATCCCAAAACTCTAAATACATTTCTATATTGCATCAAATAAATACACTACCTCTGAAGATGCTTGCCATAGATGCAGGCGAAACGTCAGGAGAAATGCTTCTAGAACATGGCCCTATAGCCCGAAAAAACCCACAAGAACCTACAAATAAATACACTTCCACATCAGACTTTGGGTATACAGACTGTACTGCATAATGTGACTGTGGCCTTTTCATTAACAATGAATGCCTTAACTTTAAAGAAACATTTATGCTGAATTCAGCTTGCACATTGGAGAGCAGAAGGATGATATTTTGCATGTCCTATGAACTTGCTTTTTTCCTCCAAAAATTGTGAAAGATAAAATCATATCTATACTGGTCCACAGGCAAACTGATGAAGACACCAAACTTCGTTAAACTGTTCATCTTGCCCCAAATAATTCAGATACAGGACCACAGAAACATTTCTAGCTTATCATTATTTTAAAACACTCTAAAATCAGGAGAGTAAATAAAGAGGGACGTTCAAACAACAGGGGAATTCCTGACATGAAACAATCAGGGCCAGCTAACACACCTCAACAAAGGATTCCCCCAGGCAGGAAGCAGCCACTCTTTCAAGCTGCAGGGCTATTCAATGTTAATTAATATAGCCAATTGCAACATTCATACTTGCCTCAAGCAGACAAGAGTTCTTTCACTCACCCTGGACATTCTGCAGATATATAAACCTCACTTGGCTAGTTTCCAACAGACCTCACAATATGGTGGCTTCTAAAGAAGACCTCAGGAGGACAACCCAGGCCGGATCCAGAGAGGCCTTTGTCCCAGAAACATCCCTTGTCCCAGAAGCATCCACTTTCTGGGGTGGGTGTCCAGATGTTCTCTTGGGACTAGCCCAAGAGAATGTCCAGAGGCCCTTCCCCCTCTCCCCCAGACCCTTTTGAAAAGTAAAAAGAACTTACCAGGTCTGCAGTACAATCTCTGAACAGCTCTCCTGGTGCATACAAATGAAGGCTAAAAATTGTTTTTGAATTGTCAATTTCTATCAATACCATTTTTGTTATTTTGCATACAAATGAAGCACCAGGAGAGCGGAGAGCAATTTTCCTCCCCCCCCACCCTCTCCTGGCGTGCGCTCTACGTGGGGCTGCCCTTGAAAACGGCCCGGAAATTCCAACTGGTCCAATGGGCGGCGGCCAGGTTGTTAACTGGTGCTCCTTACAGAGAGAGGTCAACCCTCCTGTTTAAGGAGCTCCATTGGCTGCCGTTCATTTTCCGGTCCCAATTCAAGGTGCAGGTGCTTACCTACAAAGCCCTAAACGGTTTGGGACCCATCTACCTGCGTGACCGCATTTCCGTATATGAACCCACACGATCTCTCCGATCATCTGGAGAGACCCTGCTCATGATCCCACCTGCGACGCAAGCGCGTTTGGTGGGGACGAGGGACAGGGCCTTCTCTGTGGTGGCCCCCGACTCTGGAACTCTCTCCCCAAGGACATCAGACAAGCCCCAACGTTGGCAGTCTTTAGGAAGAGCTTGAAGACGTGGCTGTTCCAGTGTGCCTTTCCAGAATAGGAAACTCCTAGCATCATGTCCCAAATGCACTTTATCAGAGATTTAAGATTGTCTGCACACTGCACCTACCTCTAAAAACCTATCCATGTCACCTGTCATGCCCAGCACTTTTAAAAATTTTATTCATTACATTTGGCCCAGCCTTAGTTTTAAATGCGTCGTGGTGTTATTGTTTTAATGTTTATTGTTATTGCTTTAATGTTTATTGTTTTGCTTTATGAGTTTTATTGTTGTATTTGTTAGGCTGTTGTTTTATTGAGGGCCTTGGCCTTTTGTAAGCCACACCGAGTCCTTCGGGACATGTTAGCGGGGTATAAATAAAGTTAATAATAATAATTTGTATGTGCCAGGAGAGCTGCTCCGAGGGTATACAGCAGGCCTGATAAGTTCTTTTTACTTTTAAAAAGGGTCTGGGGACTTGGGGGTAGGGAGTAGGTATTCCCACAGTTTACTGGGCTTATTTAGCCTTGCGAACGGTGGGAATGGTGTCTGGAAATAGTGGATTTATCCCACGCCTTGGAATAAATCCACTATTAAATTAATTTGCTACAGACCAGTTTTCCTCGTTTGTAGCAAATCAATTCAGGACTAACCAGAACGCTGTCTGGACAGCTCCTCCTTTATTGCGGGAGTTCCTGCAATAAAGGTGCTGTCTGGACAGGCCCCCAGAGAACCAAGTGCTTAGCATGCTTATTTCAGTATAGGTTTTTGAAGTGTCACTCCATGCCCACCTCTTGGATCTCCTTAATATTTTGATTGTATCTATAGCAGTTCACGTTTCTACCACAGAACTCTGTTCTGATAAAAAAGGACAGCATGGAAAGACAATAAGGTGATACAAAGCCAAACACAAACAAAGCGAGACCACAGGACATTTGGTCAGCTGTATCTGGGCACTGCTTTCACAGAATGGATAGAAAGATCACATCACATATCTTCTCTTTCAATAAAGCATCCCCTTAAAGCACAATCTAATACTTGGCTTCTCGGAGGTAAGTCCCACTACATTCCAAGTGAGTAAGCGCAGGAATGAAATTTTGCCTTTCAGAAACAAGTTAATTCCATCATGAATAAATAGGTTATCTTATCCGTAATCTCTGCTCAAGACAGAAAAATAAATGCACAAACAAAAGGTGCCCTTTAAGACTCTGTACAGCTCTCCTCCCCATGAGGCTCTGGTCATCCCACCAACCCAACCTCAACAAGGTACCACGTAAGTAGTAATTCTTTAATGGATTGTTGTAGGTTTTTCCGGGCTATATGGCCATGTCCTAGAGGCATTTTTTCCTGACGTTTCGCCCGGTGGTCAGTTGAAACATTCACACCTAGCTCCAGCAGACAAAAGTCGTTTGTCCCACCCTGGTCATTCCACAGATATATAAACCCACTTCCAACAGACCTCACTACCTCTGAGGATGCTTGCCATAGATGCAGGCGAAACGTCAGGAGAAAATGCCTCTAGAACAGGGGTCCTCAAACTTTTTAAACAGAGGGCCAGGTCCCAGTCCCTCAAACTGTTGGAGGGCCAGAATATAATTTGAAAAAAAAATGAATGAATTCCTATGCACACTGTACATATCTTATTTGTAGTGCAAAAACACTTAAAAACAATACAATAATTAAAATGAATAACAATTTTAAGAAATATAATTTAACTGATTTACGAGGCCATAAAAATCTCCAGGAAGTATGCAAAGAATGAGGAAGTACTTCATCAGTGTCACAGGATTGTTGTTGTTGTGGGCTTTCAAGTAGTTTTAGACTTAGGTTGACCCTGAGCGAGGGCCAGGTAAATTATCTTGGAGGGCCATATCCGGCCCCCGGGCCTTAGTTTGAGGACCCCTGCTCTAGAACAAGGCCATATAGCCCGGAAAAACCTACAATAACCCAGTGATTCTGGCCATGAAAGCCTTCAACAATACATTAATTCTTTAATGCTTACTTCTCTTTAAACCCACCCCTCTCTTTCTCTCTCATTCTCTCTCTCTCTCTTCCAGAGTGCTCTTGCTCTCACATACATGAAATATCCTTACTTTTATATTTAAAAAAGGATGAATCCAAAGATCTGGATAATAAATTACTTGCGTTTCCTAAGAAACTGTTTTCCTTTTTTTCCTTTTCCTTTGTGTGTATGTATGTGTATGTGTGTGTGTATGGTTGTTCAGCTCTTTGAAGCCTTGACGGAATGAAGCGGTCTTGACTCTTCAAAGCGTAAATGTCAATAAAGGAGAAATAAGAGAGAATAAGGCATGGAATGGGCGAGAGCAAAGGGCAGGAAAAGAATATAAACAAAGCAAAAAATTAAAATAAGGGAAAAAATAACCTAACTCAGACTCTGGCAGCCTTTCAGATGCCATGGGAGGCAACGGGAGCTGAGATGGCCCCTATGACTGCAGTCATGGTTACCAAGGATGCATTGCGTGTGTATGCCTCGACTCCAAGGCTGTGAGGAGAAGGAGGAAGGAGTCTTTTTTTAACACTTGGATTGCTTGTAAACTGAGCAATGAGGATCTCTAAGGCTGACTGTGATTTGAGGAGGGAGAAGTGTGAGAAGGAGAAGAAGCCCTCATCGCTCTCCTTTTTGGAGTTCTGTTTCTTCTTGGCAATTGCTTGCCTCTGTTCCCTTCAAATAAGGGCTGCTTTCCCCCCTTTCTTTCTTATCTTCACTCCCTCTCCCCTTCTGCCCCCCATTCGGCCATGGCAGGAAGAAGCCATCTTGAGAGCTGCATCAGCAGTCCCCTTCCGTTGCCATCACCACCAGCATCTCACTCTTGCCCATCTCTTCCAAGGCACTGGCCAGAGTGTTCAGGTCTCCATCGTCTTGGTGCTGGGCTTCCCATAAGTCCAGGATGACCCCCGTTGGGCTGGCTTTGGTGGCAAAAAAATTCAGATACCTGAGCCGGAAGAAGAAAAGAAAAAGAAAGGGAGAAGACAAAGAAAAAAGAATGAGATAACACTTACTGGCAGCAAAATCTATGTCACTCTCAATGGATATTTCCCCAACCCAGAGCTTTCCAAACTGTGTGTTGTGACATGCTAACGCAGGACTTTCCCAACTTTCATTTAGGTTTCAGCTGTGGTTTCAGCGGTGACCAGGGGAGCATTTGCACAGTTAAAGCTTGTGCGCCAGCTGCGCCCGTACCTTGGGAAGTCTGACTTGGCCACGGGAGTCCACGCTCTGGTTACATCCTGATTAGACTACTGCAAGGCTCTCTACGTGGGGTTGCCTTTGAAGATGGCTCGGAAGCTCCAATTGGTCCAACGATCGGAAGCCATGATTCTAACAGGAGCAGAGCGCAGGGAGTATACAACCCCCCTGTTGCGCCAGCTCCACTGGCTACCAATTTGCTACCGGGCTCAATTCAAAGTGCTGGCGTTGGCCTTTAAAGCCCTAAATGGTTCCTAAATGGTTCCTAAATGGTTTATTTATTTCGTATCAAAAGCATTCCATAAATTAGTATGTCAATTGCCTTTGTGACCAAGTGACAGTTTTCTCCTCTTTGCTCCCAGATATACTAGATTTCATCTTTTAAATCCCCTCCTTTCCCTAAAATTATACTTATTTATTGATTTTGCATCAAAAGCACTGCATAAATTAGTATAAAACTGATAAAAATAGAAGGAGCACAGGCGGCTAAATATCTTTTGACCAAAAACGGCTTTGTTAGCAATGGCTTTGTTTGTAGCCTCCAACCATTCTTCCTCTGTACATGAGGCAGGGCATAGTAGACAAGCATACAGATGCGGAGTTGTCTGTTCTCCTCCACTGTCACACAAGTTGTGGGATTCTTTTAGATAGTGCCATTTTGCCAGGTTGTCTTTTGATCTGCCCACTCCACTTCTGAGTCTGTTCAGGGACTTCCAAGTTGCCCATTCTTGGTTTGTCCCTGGAGGAAGACTCTCGCGGGGGGCCATCCAGTTGGGATTTCCTGGTTTAGCTGCCCAGAGGGATACTCTTGCTGTTGCTGGGGGGACACTATCTATCTATCTATCTATCTATCTATCTATCTATCTATCTATCTATCTCTCACAACTTGGGGACTGCTTGTATATATAAGTTTCACATAATTATATATCTTCCTGTAACCAAATATAAGCAAAGAGTAGTAGAGGAACACAGGTGTTAGAAGCCCAACAAAATCAAGGCTGAGTATTTCACATCCCTAGTGTAGGGTTCATTTGGTAGCCCACTCTAGCCAAGTAGTCTCCAAACCTCATCTGAATCTTTCCCTGGGAAAGGTTGGATGAGTGGTGATGCTGGAATATGTGTGCATTTTGGGGAAGAGATGAATGAAGCAACTTCTTAAGTTGTTGTGCTAGCCATGAGGCATTCAGGAGGAAAGCACTGAAAGAAAAACCTACCGATCCATGGAAAGCTTCTGAGCAAGAAGACGCCAGTCGTTTCCTCTGGAGTTGGGGGCATCAAGGCTGTTGCAGATTTTCTGTCGTATGGACAGAGGGATCTTGAAGGCATAGGGCCCTAGCTGAGTCGTCAGGGCACTGCCAGGGTAGGAACACAAGGCATCAAAGGAGCTGGAGTTCTGGAACACAAAGTGGGTTTGCAAACTCACTTAACGTAATCAAATGGAAGTCGCAACATTGAACTGTGAAACTACTGACAACTGTTTGTGGAAACATCTTCTGAGGAAAGTGGTTTATCTCAACTAAATTGTCACTACTGTATAAATATGGCTTATTGTATGGGCCACAGAAACATAGAACCCTTTTCCTTCAATGCCCCCCCGCCCAACCAAGCTGCCCTCGGTCATTACAAAGATCCTCAATTCAGTTTTGTTTGCAATGCAGACATACATCTTACATTTGGTGGAAGTGCACATACACATTACAAATGCCTTCCCTTCACCTTCTTTCCCCCTTGATCAGCAGTCAGACTTCTGGCCAATACCTTGAGAGAGGTTTAAATTTCATTTTGAGCTTTTTAATGTAGATCTTTTATGGAAATATGTATATTTGTTGAAGTTTTGGTATGTTTGTGTTTTTAAATTSTGTTTTTGGGCTTGCRCAAATCTTGGCCCGGCCTTTTAAATTTTTAAATTGCCTTGAACAGGCAGGATTACTTCTAATATATGTGTGTTATGGCGACAATTTTTATGCTTATATTTTGTTTTGTTAATCTTATGGTTATGTTGTTTTTTACTTTGTATGTTTTGTGATGTTACCTGGGAACAGCTCTGAGTCCCCTTGGGGAGATGGAGCGGTATATAAATAAAGATTATTATTATTATTATTATTATTATTATTATTATTATTATTATTATTATATTGTAACCCACCTCAGGCCGCTGGGAGAGGCAGGTAAATAATAATAATAATAATAATAATAATAATAATAATAATAATAATAATAATAATAATAATAATACAAAGTATTGTTTGTGATAATTGTCTTAGTCTCACTGTTCTGTTATCATTTTTTCCAGTTCAGTATTGGCTGATTTTTATCTGGAAACAGAACATACTGCAGTTTAGTACTTCTGAAATGTATTTTTTTAAAAGTAGACAGCACAAAAGGAGCACATGCAGTCATGCCGGCGACATGACCGTGGAGGTGTCTAAGGACAACAATGGCTCTTTGGCTCAGAAATTGAGATGAGCACCACACCCCAGAGTAGGAGATGACTGGACTTCATGTCAGGGGAAAACCTTTAACTTTACCTAGACAGCACAATACCAATACTATTCAAAATGTGTGGTGTTAAGCTGTGAGCCCCTGGTGGCACAGTGGGTTAAACCATTGTGCCGGCAGGACTGAAGACCGACATGTCGTAGGTTCAAATCCGGGGACAGCATGGATGAGCTCCCTTTGTCAGCTCCACTTCCCATGCAGGGACATGAGAGAAGCCCCCCACAAGGATGGTAAACATCAAAACATCCGGGCGTCCCTTGGGCAATGTCCTTGCAGACAGCTAATTCTCTCACACTAGAAGCAACTTGCAGTTTCTCAAGTTGCTTCTGACACTAAAAAAAAAAAACCTGAGAGAAATTGGCACTTTGAACATACTGAAAGGCCTCCTAATCTCCAACGACTCTGATAGGGCAGAAATAAGCATCAATAGCATCTATCTATGCCATATAGATTGTTCTACAGACTTTAATTGGGAGCCCACATTCATGAACTGTTGAAAACGATTCTGCAGTCGTGATGTAAATCCTCAAATATTTTGCCCTTGCAAGTAAGAACAAATAATTATAGTAGTTTCCCATCTATTGTGGGAGAGAATGAATACTCCTCGATAGTATTATTCTGATAATCAAACACCTCAAAATGGGCTGCTATATCACTAGCTATATCAACTTCCCGCTTCTAATTGGACCCTTTTCGGCTTCTGTGTGGGAATGTGGACTTGAGAAAATGAGCAGAGGATATGACTGCATGATGTTTTTCCAGCGCACGGGCTGCTGCTTGACTGCGCTTCCCTTCTTCCTCCTTGTTGCCGACCTTTTCTACAATCTTGGTCCTGCTGACCCCGGAGGTATAGCAAAGGAAGGAAGCCTGAGGTGCGGAGCGGGAAGCGGCCTTCTAGCAGGGGAAAGGCAGCAGGCAGGCACTATGTTCTCTGGCTGGGCGTGACTTGGCAGTGGCTCTCCACTCTCTCTCTCTGGGGTGCTCTCTTGCTCCTCTCCATGCTCGCTTCACCCGCCTGACTTCCATCCTCACTGTGATGGGACTCTCCAGCAAGAGAGAGGGTGAGAGAGGGAGTGGAGCCAAGGAAGAGGAGCCAGACGGAGGCTGCATGGGGCTCAAGGAGCATAACAGGGAGCGAGGCAGCCAGCACTGCCTTTTTTCCGGAGTTAAAGCGAGGAGCAGCAGCTGAAGCCAGAGAAGCTTCCCTTCTTTTTCCTTCCACTTGGAGGGGTTCTGAGGTGCCCCTTTTCTCACCCTCTCTTTCCTCCAGAGGGCTGGCAGAGTGGGGCTTTTTCCCTCCCGAGGAAAAGGAATATGGGGAAAGTTACAACTTGGCTCCTGACTTTGCCTGGACTTTTGCTGGCAGTCCGAGCAGAGACGTTCACAAGTAAGCAGCGACCTGGCCAAAGCCACTCTCTCTCGCCTGCCTTGCCTGCTGTGTGTGTGCGGGGGCACCTCAAGAGCGCCCCTCGGGGATTTGCGCTATATGCAAATACGTATCTTGCCTATTGCTTTAGCTGCCCCTGCTATGTCCCATAAATATTTCAGTTAAGATTTTGCCTTTCTGTCCTGTCCAGTAGGATAAGTCACTCTGACCACTGTTAATTAGTCTGCTCCACCTGACACCTTTGTAGCAGCTACCATCTTGTTTCTGCCACTTTGTATCTTTTTTCTCACCTCTCCAAGTGTAATGTGTAGCTGAAATATCTGCCCTTCCCCTTCCACTTGCCGGACACAGATCTTGCAGGTAAGTTCTGTGGAAGCTAAGCTGTATCTCTCAAGAGTGAAGGTGCAGTGTAGTGCCCGTTGGCTGCCACTCCAGATATGATAGAAAGGGATTTCCTGTAGGGAAAAAACCCAACGAACACAGTTAGAGATGGAAGGACAGCTAAGATAATAAAAACAGCTACAATAATTTCTCTAATTAGTTCCCACCCACCCCAGTAACAAAGACTTTTCTAAAGAGAATGAAATACAAAATATACTTTATGGTAATACCTGCATTAGAGCAACTAAAAGTCACAAAATAGTTTATGAAGCTTTCAATTTCACAGGCTTCTTTGTCAGGCATAGATGCTAAAAATGATTTGGAAATGTGATGGAAAGACCGTTTTCTATCTTTCTCTGTACTTCCACCAACGAAGGAGGACATTTTATTGGTTTGCTTTGATTCTTTATGCCCCCAGCAACCTCACAGCCAACAAGAGCGTATACCTTCTACTTGCATCAACCTTCCAAGACCATTTTGAATAACACGTTTAGCATTTGAAAAAAGATGCATCTCTCCGACTCTCTGTGCCATAGAGATTAGAAAACTTGTGTAATGTATTTTGTGACTTTTGATTGGCATAATAAAGATATCACCATGCTGCATATTTGGGGTTTTGCTCTGTTTACAGCTACTATGGATATACATTTTTTAAAGTATCTAAATTACAATGACAGCAGCAGCAAATATAGTGACAACTATAACTGATCTAAATCCAGTTGCTAGTTCTAGCTAGAAGAGAGACATTACATTGTCTAATTTGGGACTATCAACTGGGGATAGGTCTTTATGACTAACATAACAAAGGATAACTTCACTTACAGGTGTACCATAGACCAATAGCTGGCAGCATTCCATTGGTTTTTCCTAAAATAATTATTTCATTATGCTTGATTAACAAGAAAATAAAGAATAACTTTGTAACATTATGGCAAATTACTGCTCACTGGAATTGTTGGAAGAGTGGAGGGGTTCGTTTTTAATAACAAGTCTGAAGGACATATGACCCTCCTTATTGAACACAGGCTTGGGGGAGAAAAAAGCATACATCTTCTGTATTATAGTTCCAAGCTAGAAGGCAAACAGGAAACATATCAAGCATTTTAAGGAGCTTCTTGCAGATTACTGTGTAAGGGCAGGCAGATTTCATTTGGTTGTAAATTCTCACCCTTAAGTCTTATTAATGAACTTCCTGGAAAGTATCGGGTTGGCCATAAAGATGTTGGCTACTGATTTTATCCAGCAAGTCTTCTTTTGTGCTTTTGAACTGTTAAGGCCCAATTCCAGAAAAAATGTCATAGTTTTTGGCTGTGATCCTCATTTCCAATGAGTCACATATTTTCATGATATTCCTGTACCTTTGTATGATGTAATGAGAAGTCACGGGTAGAGGTTTACCAGGGGAACGGGGGGGGGGGGGGGGGGGGGGGGGGGGGGGGTGGGGGGGGGGGGGGGGGGGGGGGGGGAGTGATGGAGGGGGGGGATGTGGCGGTGATGGAATTAGGGAAAAATACTTGTATTTTGACTACCGGGACTGTGGCGCATCTGGCTGGCAGTCAGCTGCATTAGGATCACTACTGACCAAAAGGTGATGAGTTCGAAGCCAGCGTGGGTTCCGACCAATTTGTGTAGCTTGCTGTTGACCTTTGCAGCCCGAAAGACAGTTGCATCTGTCAAGTAGGAAATTTAGGTACCGCTTATGCGGGGAGGCTAATTTACGATGCCATAAAAATCTCCAGCAAGCATGCAAAGAATGAGGAAGTACTTCATCAGTGTCACAAATGGACGGTGAAGCGACAGCTCCTTTGGTGGCCAGAATACTCTCATGAAAAAGCTGGAATGTTAAATAGCCTCTGTTTGTCTGTCTATATATGTTGTGTGTCTATGGCATTGAATGTTTGCCATGTATATGTACATTGTAATCCGCCCTGAGTCCCCTGTAGGGTAAGAAGGGTGGAATATAAATACTGTAAATAAAGAAGTGTCACTCTTATTCTAACTTAGGCAGCAAAATGTCTTGGGTCAGTCCAGGTGAGAAGGGAACACTCTGGAACCACTCTCCTTTAAAGTGTTCTGAAAAACCTGGTGCGTATGCATTGGCTTTGCTCCGAGAGGGAATATTTTGAAAGACAGAAGAGGTGAAGAATTGTAGGCTTACTCTTGACCTTACAGGGTCATTCCTATACTAATCACTTCTTGGCAGTACAGTGACTCACCTGATACTTAGCCAGGAGTTTGCTCCTCCAAAGGGAATGGGGGATATCATGGACAGAGAGGCGCATGTTGTGATAACTGTCCTTGAAGAGAAGGGGCTTGGGTTCTTCCAAGAGGTATCCTCCAAGAGTCTTTTCTAATTCAAGCACTTCCTGTGAACAAAAGCAGATGACGACAACAGTGAGATCAAAGAACATGCAAAGGTTTCTCCAAATTATAGCAGCTTTTCCCAAGATGGTGCCCTGTAGCTATACTGCACAAGTCCCATTATCCCTAAGCTTGCTGAAGCAAACACTGGAAAAAGAAAATGAAGGAAGACTGCCTTTTCTAGATGTCCTAGTCATCCGCAAACCAGATCAACAATTGGGTCACACCGTCTACAGAAAACCCACACACACAGATAGATATCTACATAAAAACTCCAACCATCACCCAAGTCAAAAAAGAAGCACCATTAAAGACTTGGCAGACGTGCAAAAAGAATCTGCGAAACCCCACCTCCTTCAAGATGAACCGAACCACCTCAACTGGGCTCTACAGACCAATGGATACTCCATCTCAGACATCAGAAGAGCTGCAAGATCGAGAACAAGCCACGAGAATAAAGACAAAGATCCACCCTGAGGAAAAGTGTTCTTGCCATTCATCAAGGGAACCACTAACCGCATAGGGAAGCGGATGAGGAAACACAACGTACAAACTATCTACAGACCCACCAAGAAAATCCAACAAATGCTATGTTCAGCAAAGGACAAGAGGGATCCTCTCACTTCTGCAGGAGTCTACCGTGTACCATGCAGCTGTGGACAAGTCTACATAGGGACCACCAAATGCAGCGCCCAAACACGAATCAAGGAACATGAAAGGCACTGCAGACTACTTCAACCAGAGAAGTCAGCCATAGCAGAGCACCTGATGAACCAACCTGGACACAGCATTTTATTTGAGAACACAGAAATGCTGGACCACTCTCACAACCACCATGTCAGACTACACAGAGAAGCCATTGAAATCCACAAGCATGTGGACAATTTCAACAGAAAGGATGAAACCATGAAAATGAACAAAATCTGGCTACCAGTATTTAAAAAAACTCTAAAATTACAACAACAGAGAGGAAACAAACAAGGACATCTAATCACCTCTCAACAAAAGTTTGCTCCAGGCACTGTCAAGCCATTATATGCTAATCAAGGTGGTCAGTTGAAACAGTCACACCTAGCTCCAGCAGACAAGAGTCCTTTGTCCCACCCTGGTCATTACACAGATATATAAACCCCTTTTTCCTAGTTCCAACAGACCTCACTACCTCTGAGGATGCTTGCCATAGATGCAGACAAAACGTCAGGAGAGAATGCCTCTAGACCATGGCCATATAACCCGAAAAAACCTACAACAACCCAAACACCGTAATTAATACATAGTGCTGCCACCACTATATATGAAGCGGACAACCCAGAAAATACAGGCAGCAATCTTCAGGCACTGTGGACCTTTATTTTTTTATTAACCCACCACTGCCACCAATAAACATGTATGAACAAATGTATAACAGGGCTGTGAGGAGATTGGATGAGTAGTGTGGTGTGGCTGAGTACTTTTAAATTATATCTATATGTGTTTGAGAGAGACTTGAGATTATTATGAGAGAAACTTGTGTAAGAGAGGTTTGACTTTTTAAAAACCTGTTTGTGCCTCTTTAATATGTGTAGCTCAATGCCACACAATTGTATTCAGCTCCCGAAGTTCTTCAGACTTCTCTTTTGTGGAGAATCTTCTCTTTAATAATTAGACACAAGTTCTAGTATTTAAACTGAACAGAAAAATATTTATTTAAAGATTACTCAGGTTCACACAAGCTGGATGTTTACACAATATCTTCTTGTTGGTGTCACAGTTAACTCTCAGTTCTTATAGAAACATGAAATTGTTACTATTAGCCATTGAGAGTGGCTTTCCTTTAGTCACTTTGAGGTTTGTTATTTCCTTTCTGTAACTGACAAGTTACTTTCTACTTCAAGTAGGTTGACGACCCTTTAAACTAAACAGGCTGGAGGCTAAACACTTGGCTCGGCTTACACTACCCAGAGCCACCTTTTCCCTTTGACTACCCTTGGTTCGGTTTCTCAATACATCAGAACCAACTTTCCTCTTTGGCTTGCTGACCAAAGACTGCCTTTTCAAACTGTCCTCTCTCCTCCAGTGGCAGTTAGCTCCGCCTCTTTCACTTCTGCCTGGAGGCCTACGTCGCTATGGCAACGCATCAGCTAAACAAACGGCTACATTTCAAACTAACCTGTCTGCACTATATATCACTCAATAAAACTTTTTTAAAAAACCTCCTATAAATTAAATAATTTGTTACACTTGCTTACCTATTGCAGTCTGTTTCTGATTCAAGACCTGGATTCCCTGGCACAATGCAACCATCTGCCACTAGTGGGGCTCCTTCTCTAGCCATGACAACTGGACTTTGCCAGCATCTGCACTCGGGCCCTGAGTATACCTTTTGTTTTCAATGTCTCTGATGCATCTCTATGCTAAAGGTGAGAGTTGGTCTGCCACTGCCAGTCCATAAAGATTGGTTAGGATGCTAAGTCAGATGGTTGTTGCAATTCAATGTTATCTGGAGAACTTCACACAGTTCTCAGCCTTGTTGGTAAGCAAGTTATTGAGTTAGATCGACTGCTCCTCCATTCCATTACAGCTGTTCTTATGACTTGTGTCATAACAACTTGGGATTGATGGATGTCATAATTCACACCACTGAACCAGAGAAAAACATCAAAAATCTCATCATATTTTGTTTCATCCAACTCATTTATATTTTTTTTCCTCCTGAGTGAAGGGCTCTTTTTTCCCTTCACTTTTCTTCTGCTTACCAGTGGTTAGAGGAAAAAGTGAAAATCTTAATTTAGTTTTCTGAAGCAATGTGGTCTTTCAAGTGAGCAATCAGCTCCGTAATTCTTGAACCCTTACAATATTGTGGTGGTGTGGTGTCCTATTTTATAGATGAAAACCCAGTATTCACAGTGTTTTAGCCATCCATGTTTAGAGAGAGAGAAATAATAATAATAATAATAATAATAATAATAATAATAATAATAATAATACCTGGGGATACTACAATTGGGCAATGTCAAGCATGGGCAAATGAAAAATGTGGTCAGCAAATAATATATCCAAAGAACCAGAAAGGTTCTGAAGAGCAAATTAAATGGTGGAAATATGATCAAGGCTCTCAACACCTGGGCCATCCCCGTCATTAGATACACTGCTGGGATTGTGAACTGGACAAAAGCAGAGCTGGATGATCTGGACAGAAAAACAAGAAAACTGATGACAATCCACTACGCATTACACCCGCATAGTGATGTTGACAGACTTTACCTGCCCAGGAAATCAGGAGGCAGAGGGATTCTGCAAGCGAAACAAACGGTAGAAGAAAAGAAACATGCACTGGCAGATTATGTGAAAGGCAGTCAAGAACCAACATTGAGGGAAGTCAATAGTAGTAAACTGCTCAAAGTGCAAAAGACAAAGAGGGAATACCGTAAAAACACAATCCAGAGCAGAAGAGAAAACTGGTGAAAGAAGGCTCTCCATGGACAGTTCCTGGCAAAAATTGAGAGCCAAATCGACAAAGAAAAAACATGGCTGTGGCTCACAAATGGAACTCTGAAAAAGGAGACAGAGGGCCTGATTCTGGCAGCCCAAGAACAAGCCATTAGAACCAATGCCATCAAAGCCAGAATTGAAAAGTTGACAACAGATCCCAAATGTAGACTCTGCTAGGAAGCAGATGAAACAATAGATCACATCCTAAGCTGCTGCAACAAGATCGCGCAGACAGACTACAAGCAGAGGCACAACACTGTTGCTCAGATGATTCACTGGAACTTGTGCCACAAATACCATCTTCCTGCGACAAAGAACTGGTGGGATCACAAGCCGGAAAAAGTTACAGAGAATGAACACACTAAACTCCTCTGGGACTTCCGGATTCAGACAGACAGAGTTTTGGAGCATAATATTCCTGACCTCACAATCGTGTTAAAAAACAAAGTATGGATTGTTGATGTCGCAATCCCAGGTGACAGCAGGATTGCAGAGAAACAACTGGAAAAGCTGACACGATATGAGGATTTAAAAATTGAACTGCAAGGACTCTGGCACAAACAAGTAAAGGTGGTCCCAGTGTTGATCGGCACACTGGGTGCAGTGCCTAAAGACCTTGGCCTGCACTTAAACACAATCGGCGCTGACAAAATTACCATCTGCCAGCTGCAGAAGGCCACCTTACTGGGATCTGCATGCATTATTCACCGATACATCACACAGTCCTAGACACTTGGGAAGTGTCCGACGTGTGATCCAATTCAACAGCCAGCAGAGTGTCTGCTGTGGACTCATCTTGTTGTGTTTCTAATAATAATAATAATAATAATAATAATAATAATAATCAACTTTATTTATAACCCACCACCATCTCCCCAAAGGAGACTTGGGGTGGCTCACATGAGGCCAAGCCCAAAAATACAATACACCAAAATATTTGTAAGGAAGAGAAAACCTTACAAAGATTTTAAGACAAGGGAGAAAAAAAGTCTTGAATATGCCCATTAACAATACTTGGGCAACAGGCTAAGTAGTCCTGGAGGACATTATTATTATGTGCCTTCAGGTTGTTTCTGACTTATGGAGACCCTATCATGGGAGCATGTGACTCACCCAAGACCAGTCAGTGTGTGTCCATGGCTGAGTGGAGAATTGAACCCTGGTCTCCAGAATTGTAGTCCAATGTTTAAACCACCACGCCACACTGGCTCTAACATTGCATTCTCCTTATAGCAAAATGTATAGATTCATGTATACTAGACATGTGCAATCCATGGTTCTAAATGGTTCCAAAGTACTTAGAAAACTAAAGTTCTGGTGGTGAAAACTAGAGGGTGCTGGTGATTTGCTTCTACAGTGTTGCTAAAGTTCTGGTGGTGAAAATTTTAGAACTCAACATTTCATTGTTATGTCATTATTGGTCATTTTTATGACAGAACCTATTAGGAACTGCCATTTAATAATAATAATAATAATAATAATAATGCTTTATTTGTACCCCTAACCATCTCCCCAAGGGCGGCTTACATGAGGC